GTCCTGTAAAGTGCTGTCAAACGACTATAGCGGTTCCACAAAGAAATTGAACTTTGAACACCTTGTTTTTTGCTGATTGAAAAAAAAAAACTTATATATGTCGACGTAAACCGGTAAACGTACCAGTTTAGTTTCATCAGTTATTAATTGTCCATTGTGTGGCGTAGTGACTAGTGACTTATTGAGTATCGGCGAATACACTGCGTAACGTTTCGGGAATCTTTGTTCGGACTGTGTGCCATTTACTCTTAAATGGGCCTTACATCAAGAATTTGGGTCCATGCTGGGTCGGTCGACACACTCTCCAAACAGTCACACACATATTAAAGTTCTTAACCAAATCTTTGAAAATTTTGAGTTTAAATGAATTGAACCTATAATGCAACGAATAGTACTTGTCAATAATTATTTTAGTCAAAATTTAAATGCTACTCCGGTAAGACTTGAACCACTAGATAATTTGGTACCACCTTAAAATAATATTATTTCAATATATATATACTGTATAACCCTACATACTAATGCATCTCCTATTGGTAACACCTAAAAACGCTGTATACAAAGGAAAATATTTCTCCGACATACTCTTTAAACGTAGAGAACACTAACGACTTTATCTCATAAAACAGTAGGAATATTTGGCCCACATCAAGAAAAACAGTAAAAGGTTTTCTTCAATATAATTCATCTCTTACACTAGAGTTATGTCTACCTTATGTACAACTTTGGATATATATAGTGAGAGAGAAATTGGTTATTGTAGTGAAGTTTTATGGTAAATGGTAGTACAATTTTTGTTGGTAATTTTGTTGTTGACAGTCGAGTAAGGTGGATTGGTATATAAATTTCGTCGGTGATCCTTACACATATATAATCTTTTCCATGCGTGTTTTGAAATCTTTCTCAACTAAAATTTATATGTACCAGTTTATATAAAATGAAATAGATGATTATGGGTTTTGACTAGAGACAAGATTCTCCAATATAAAGAATTCATCAAGTGGAGGCGCCCATAACTGTTGAATATGTATATATTTTTGTTTCTAAAGAATAATGAATTTGAGGGTTGAATCCTTCTCCAATGTCTATATCCCACTTAGCTCCCCCACATGATGACCCTTCCAAAGCTTTTAAAAAACGTGTATCAAAAAATTCACGCTCCAAAATAATGCAAGTTTGTAGATAAAAACTCGACAGAAACGCCGATTTCTTTGAATGATAAACAATCAAAATTTAAAAACCTAGAATTTTGATAAAAATAGATAAATCAAATGTTATATATGTATACAATTGTATTAAAAGAGTGATATATTTATATCTAAGGAAAATAAATAGATAATACAACAGCAAAAATCCAAAACAAAAGAACACAGATACGGAGATCAGTCTTTCAACAAAGTAAGTTTATACAGTAGGTCATGATTTAACTATTTGAAAGATCTTTTATTAAAATGTGTGAAACGTACCAGCAATAAGACAATAATGAGTGTTCTTCTCGACACTCACTAGCCAAAGGGAACAAATCAGATCAATATATACATTTTTCTCTTTGATCTTAGTAGTAGTATAAATTTTTTTTGAAAAGATACAAAATCAATACTGGCCTAATTAGCATAATGTGTAGGTACGTATAAAACATTTGAATCAAATGAATATATCATAAGGAGAAGAAAGAACGAAAGAAAGAATAAAGTATTTTCAAGTTGTGATGGGCCTATCGGGTTACTTGTGTGCTCATATTGTAAATGTATAATCATTGGGTTATATGAATAAATGTTTCTACGAGTAAAGTGTCCCTAAGCAATCGAGTGCTTCTAGAAACATCATTTTGACATATAAACGCTTAATGACTTGTTCGTTTCATAGTAGGTTAAAGTTTTATTCATAAGTTTCTATATGCTCCTTTTATTTTAAGTAGTATGGTTTGAGAAGGGTTGTATCGTAAATTTAAGCGAAAAACAAGGAAATCTTTGAAAAAGAGACAAAACTTATGTCTTCTTATTGGTGTATCTACTTCTTGAGAACGAAGCAAGAGACAAAGTGAGTCTAATAGTTTTGGTAAAGAAGAGGAAAAGCCAGAAGAAGCAGAGGTTCTTGAGAGATGGCCTGACGAAGAAAACTTTAAAGAGTGCCAATGTCATAAAAGGGGTCTTATGGCACACAGGGTGAAGTCAGGCAAAATAAGGAAAATAAAAGAAAAGGTAAATATTTATAAATAGATATACTAGATATATGTGGTCAATTAAATTTTCAGTTAATTTAACCTTTGATTAGGATTATGATTTGGATAGGTTCTTGCAATCTATGTAATATATATATATATGGAGAGCTTGACGCTCAGTTCGGTTATGTTCTTCAATGTTTACATTCTTTCTATATATATGAAATTGTAATATTCTTCATGATAATTCAATCCAACCCATATTGTTATGCGGTTTTAGACACTGATATTGTTTAGTTGTTTATTATTACGTATGTTGATGAATCAAGCTATCATGTTCATGATCATGTTCGGAATGTGTGTTGTCATTGAAGCTATCGAAAAAAAACAGACCTCATAATTAAACCTCTTAGACCATCTCCATTAGGGGTGGACACGAAGCGAATATCCGGGATTTTGGTAATATTTGTGATTCGATTTGCTTCGTCCGAATAATTAGTTTTTTGATTCGTATTTGCTTCGTAAATAACCGAATATCCGGCTGTCCGGATATCCGTTAAAATTTGAACTATTTGTCGGATATTCGATTTGTTCAGTATAAATAAAAAAACAATTATAAAAATAAAATAAAAACATAAAAATGAGAAATTTAATCCAAAATAAGTACTATTTCATTGAACTAAATATTTCTTCTTTAATTATTAAAACTAATAGTTAAATAAACTTATAAAATTTGATGAACATAAACTTATAAAATTTACATATAAAAATAGTAAAATGATTAATATATATCTGTAATTATCTATATACATATATATATGTTCATGTATACCGAATCGGAGCGAATATCCGCCTATTTAAATTTTAGTATTTGTTATTGCTTCGTTTTTAACGAATATCACTTTTTAGTATTTGATTTGTTTCGTAAAACTCCGGATATCCGAATTTTTCGAATCGAATAGAACCGAATAACGGATCGAAGCGAATTTAACGAATATTTTGCCCAGCCCTTCCATCACTCTAAAACTCTTCTCAAATAAAAAAAATATTAGTATTTAATAAATTTCAATTATATGATTATTTTGTAAACATAAATATAAAATTGAACCAATAGAAGAAAAATAAGTGGCATAGTGTGTTTCTTAGGGCATCTCAAACGCAAGAAACCTATGAGAGTTTTTCAATTATATTTTTTAATCATTAAATAATAAATATATTATTTATTTAAATTTTTATTACAAAAAAAAAATATGACCAATCATAAAAACCTAAATTTTAAAGTGGGTTTATCTGAGTTTCTCAAATGAGAAACGTATTTCCTTCTTTCTCCACCTTTTTCATTACTTTTTTTTTTAATCTTTAGAAATTCATTGAAAACTGGTGTTGAACATGCTCTTAGAATTTTTCCTTTCTCTTTCTTATTTTTTTAATTTTTTTAATATAAAGTTTCTCAATGAGAAACCATTGATGGAGATGCTCTTATAGTATAGACAAATCTGAAGTATTCTTTTCAAATTGGTTTGCAAAATAACCAAAGAGTGTGACATGATCAAATGAATTGAGTTTGGTATGAACCCGTCAGAAACTTGGTTTATAAAACTTATTTACAGTGATTAAAACACCATACTCCATGCAAGGAAACCAAGAATTTTTACGTATTAACTACTAATGGTAAACGCAATTAAATAATTTTCCGACTGTTATACAATTTTTTTTCTTATAAAGGATGTAATCAAATTTTAAAGTCTTTGTAATTTAAAGCCCGTGCATCCCTTTGAACGAACTCATCTCACTATATTTGTTGGGCTGTGACGGGACAATCCAATATTGGCTTAAATGTGGAGGTTTAGTCAACGCTTAATAAAGGATGATCACTACCAGTCTACCATAAATATGCACATTCTTAACATAGTTTTAGAATTTTTAAAATATTTGTAGTTATGAGAAATTGCATTAGATGGCAATAAAACCT